TATATATTATATATTATATTATATTATATTTATATTTACGTGAATAGAAATATTGTTTCATGCAATATACATTCCGATGATTCTAATATGAGCTGCATCATTTTTATAGATAATCACAAAATAAATCATAAGTCACTCATTTACATTCACATAAATTCTTGCTGATTTAGTTAAACCACTTATTATATGATAATTACATGATATTCGTAATATTCAAATTATTCAATCATATGTACATAAATATTTATGTTGTGACCCGATGATATTATTATATTTTAATTACCAGATCATTTAATTATCATTATTGTTGTTACTGTTATGTATCAATCATTGTTGCTTTCATAAATTATACATCCACATTTTGTTGTAATTATTACATTAAACATACAACGATTAATACGTATGACGTTCTAACGATGTGTCTAACGAGTTTAATAAATATAATTTATTTTACAACCTTGTATCTTCTGACTCTCAAGAAACAATCGATCGTCCGGGTTGGTATAAATATTTATGCACATACAATTATTTTTAACAATTGATCAATTTAATTCAATGATAAGCTTGACCGATTACATTTACTAATTTATCTGACTGATCAATTCAATTGATTCAGTGGTTTCGTTCAATTGATCAATTCAATTGTATCAATCGAACTTGCCCAGTTGATTAATTTAAATCGTAAACACTCACTTCGTGTTGACGAAACCCATACCGTCAGCAACCGTGACCCCATACATCGGCCCAGTCCGATCTTGGCTGAACAAATTCAACGCGTGCGCGTTCAGAGTCCTGATCAAATTGAAAGTGAAGGTCTCCGGGTCCGTGACATTCGCCGGTTTCGTTATCAAGTAATTGAGCCCGCCGATTGCTACGTGATCTTGGAGATTCCTACCGACGCCGGGGGCCTCGTGGATCACGGTGACGTTCAGCTGTTGCAGATGGTCCCTGGGACCGATCCCAGACAGCATTAACAATTGCGGCGATTGTACCGAGCCGGCCGACAATATTACCTCGCGGTTGGCTTTCACTATTTTACGCACGGATCCCAGTCGAAATTGCACGCCGTAGGCGGTTTTCGTGTGTTCGTCTGAAGAAAAATCGAGAGTCAATTAGACGCCGGTTCAAATGAAGAATTGTGGTGGTAATTTTGGTTAACCGTTGATTATTTTCATTATTTTCAACGTTTCATTGTTCTCGTTGTTTCATTACTATTTTGTCCACCCTCGTTTCGATTCTTTTACTTATGCCGAAAGCAATTTGCTGCTCGAAAGTTTCGCAGATTGAGATTTCGTTTCCAGGGAGATTTTCCTTTTTCTAAGTTTCCGACTTGCGGATTAAAGTACCATTTTCTCAGTATATAGTAAGTGAAGTTGCAACGATTGGTCGTGAATATTATTAACTATTAGCTCGAATTGTAAAAGTTTATGACGATAAATTGCTATCATATTGGACAAGCCGCACGTATTGATAAGACGATAAGCATGGCTCAGAATTAATTTCTTAGATTACAGATCCTTCGTCACTAATTTAATTTATCGTTTACTAACGCAATATAATTTCACTTAATAATATATTAACGTATCAACCGAGTTTTCATTGCACAAAGTGCGTTTTATATTCCCTGCGCTTATTTCTTTAAACAAGGTACAATAATTCATATTTACATTTTATCTTTTCATATCTCTTTTAACTGTTTAACACGTTCCGTGCCAAGCCATTTTTGCCTTTTGTTGTCGTTCAGGCCATTTGATATTAATGTAGGAAATGAAAAGATAGTTACGCCGAAATCAAGAAGTTCCGTGCCAAGCCATTTTTGCCTTTTGTTGTCGTTCAGGCCATTTGATATTCTTTCATTACATCATCAATCGATAATTAGTTCTCTTGTTTAGAGTAGCTAT